TATTTTGCCGTGGAAACATTGAGGATAATACAAAAGGCCTTTAATTTTGAGGTTAGGTCACAAAAAAATGTTTACAAAGACTTTAAAGAAGGCGGATAAAGCGTTAAAATCGAACAGCGACGTCAACTGATGAACAACACGTTAATCAAATCAAACACCTTGTGCTCGGAAACCGTCGATTAACAATAAGATACCTTGTTGATACTTTCACTTCACTTGATTTCAAAAGGTTAGGTAAATACCATTTTAAAAGATTTTTTGTGCCTTAGATGCATCAAATCTCATTTAGTTCCAAAAACGCTCAACTTTTTGGAAAAACAGCGTCGCGTTGACATACTTATTTGAAACAATGATTTCTGACTACCAAGACGCCATAAAACGCATGGAGATGAGACTTGGATCTATGCTTACGACCCTGAAACATCCGATCAATCGAGTGAATATCGTGCAAAAGGTGAAGCAAGACCGAAAAAATCACGCCAGTCACTCAAAAATCAAGGTCATGTTGACAGTTTTCTTTGATTATCGTGTAGTGTACCATGAATTTCTTCCAACAGGCCAAACTGTTAACAAGGAATATTATTTGAGTGTTATGCGTCGTTTGCGTGATGCTATTCCGCAAAAGGCCGGAATTATGGACATACAACTCTTAGTTTTTGCATCATGATGATGCATCGGTTCACAGCATTGATTAACTCGAGACCATTTCTCCAAAAATTCAACTCGTGGCGTTCCGCAACCACCGTATTGGCCTGATTTAGCACCGAGTGACTTATGGCTATTCCCTAAACTCAAACGGCCACTCCATGGACGCCGTTTCGATACGATCGAGAAAATAAATGTCGAATCGACGAAAGGCGAAAGCATTGAAGGCCGTACCGGAAAAGGATTTTTCAGACTGTTTCGAGAGTTGGAAAAAACATTGGCATAAGTCCATTGTATCGGATGGGGGAGATCTTTGAGGAAAATCTAAAATATGGCAAAATGTTAAGGTAATCCAAGGACATTAAAACACACATACATGATAAGTCATTCTCAGAAATTTTTTTGTACAACATTTTATGGTATCTCATACAGAAGGAAACTTTACTAGAGAAAAAACCCGAAATTAAGCAAAAATCAGAGTAGGCCTAACACACTGAAATTGTACATACTAAGAAAATTTTCTGAACAATTAATTAAAAATATCAGATTTTTCAAAATATCTAAGATGCACTGGATTTTATGTAGGTATTTAAAATGCTAGATTTTATTTCACGAGCAAGCAAGACTGAATCCTAGAAGTACATTTTTCAATATTAACATTTTTTTTGTCTCTTACAAACGTCATTTGACTTATCCTGGGACGCACTGTATATTCCAAACGGCCTAATTTTTCAAATACAGAGTATTGAAATTTTTTACTTCTGGAAGAATTAGACCTGGCGATTTAAAAGTAAGGGTAAAAATTCATTGAGTTTGCAATATTTTTATGATTGCTTAAACCCTAAAACTTTAGTACATTCATAAAAATTTCATGGTTATTTTGATGTCGTAGTAGGTGCCTAATGTAAAATTATATCATACAAGTACAGTTACAGTAAGCATATAATTTTATACTTTTTGTGTAATTCTCCCAAAATGTAAATTTACATTGTCGATATATGTATATTTACTACACTTAAAATGTAATTTTACTTAGAAACAGGACAATAAATTAGTATTTTTAAGGAGAAAAAATTCTAGGCATTATTATTTTGTTATACACTGTGTCCCAAAATGATGGAACAAAATTCATATTCTTTTTTCCAATTCATGTTTTAAAGAATCCCCGAAACAGGTCAATTAGCGATATAAGATTATACCTACTTTTTTATCATAGTTGTCAAAAATGAAGGAATTAAATGAAAACAATAGTTTAGTACTACTTTTTATTTTATTACAGCAAATGTTCAAAGTGGCCCCCATTAACAATGCACAATGCCCAATTTGGTGTTCAAAGTTATCGGTCGAACTTCTCTGATACGATTTCTGTGTCTGGTCTGTTCATATACACTTTGCTTTTTAGATAGACAACTAGACAAAAAAATAGGTATTACCTTATATCGCTGAATTCATCTTTAGAAGGGCTATTTATACTCTAAAATATAGAGTGTCCAATTAAAAAAAATGTCAGTAATGTTTTAGGTCTGTCAAACACGTCTCACAAAAATAGAAAATATTGCAGAAAAATAACAATTTCTATTTACTAATTGACCTGCTTCACCGATTTTTTAAAATCTGAATTGGAAGAAAAATTTGAATTTTGTTCCATCATTTTGGGACGCAGTGTTTTTTTAGAAAGAATGTATTTTTATATACTTAAATATTTTTGAATAATACTACATATTTTGAACAAGGACATTTATAAAAGAACGTAATAGATAATTACGAATTGTTGGACAAGGCAGTTTTCAATATCTGGGCTGAATACAAAATTGGACTCCGTCTTTTCTATTACGTAACAACCTATTTCTTTGACGCAACTTTGTGTATGTGTATTTATTCAAGAATTGAATATTCAGATTGTTATTTGATGTAATATTCTAACAGTAAAATAGGGAAGCTGTCAAAACGCCACACAAGTGGAGAAAGAACTATTAACTATATTATTTTCATATGCTGGATCATCAATATTATCCAGTACTTATCATCAATTTACCTACTTGGATTGAATTTATTATAGCCACATAATCTGTACCTCATTTAAAAATGTACGGGAAAATACGAGCAATTTTGTAGGAAGTTTAATTTTGAACAACTTTTCTTTGAAATTTGTTTTCGAAAAAATGCATCTTCATTGATATATTGGCAGTTTTTGGTCAAAAACTGTAAAAAATCATATATACAGGGTATTTCTTAAAACGTAAAAAATCCAGTAGCGTATTCTGTAGCCAAAAATAAGGATTTTTTTTTATATTAATGTGGGGCGTCTTAGGACAGCCATTGTTCAGCTACAGCGTGTCAAAAATTAAAGAAAAAATCAGTTTTTAATTTTTAATTTCTAAACCGCTTGAGATAATTTAACCAAACGATGTGCGTATTTAGTATGACAGTAGGTATGAAACATAAAGTTACCAGTTTTAGAAACTTACCAGTGGCAGAGGTGTGGGTATTATCGATCATTATTTGCCAAAACAAATATATTACCCTGTATAATATTACAAGTAAAATAGGTCATCATATGCGCCACTGTACTATCTTCACTTTTTGATTCTTTATACTTTTCTGTATTCTAAACCGATTAACAACAAAATTGATTTATTTGATCAAGTGCATTTTTACGATACTCATTACATTACTTTAAATAATAACAAACTAATTAATTAACAGTGGAATTACTTTACTATGATTTATTATAACAAATGTTGGAAATGACCACCTTCCGCCAAAATACATGTTTCAGATCTTCTTGAAATTGCTGCTGGAACACGTGCAAAAATTCCATTAGTAGCTCTTATCACATCACAACCAGCTATAATTTGTTGACGTAAGTGCTCCTCAGATACAATGTGAACCTTGTAAATTAATGTCTTGAGATGTCCCCAAAAAAAAATCAATAGAGTTCGTATCGGGCGAACTGGGTGGCCACGGCTGACATGGTTCTTGAGCGCCTCGTCCAATCACGTCATTACCAAATCTTTCATTTAAAAATTCACGAGCAGTCAAACTAAAATGTGGAGGAGCCCTGTCGTGCATAACCATATTCTTTCTCTTGGCGCATAGAGAACACCGTCAAATAGTTCAGGTAAAACATTTTCAAGAAAATGTCTGTAGGAGGCACCGGTTAAAGTTCTTGGTAAAAAGTTAGGCCCAACAAGAAAATTTCCAATAATACCCACCCATACATTCAAAGAAAACTGATGTTGAAACGAGATTCCATTATGGCATGAGGGTTTTCATCAGACCATCTCTGGAAAAATTAGCTTCGTCGGTAAAGTCAACATTTTATTCAATTTTTTGCAAAATCCAGTGGCAAAATTGTAGGCAAGCAGGATAATCGTGTGGCAGTAAGGCTTGAACCGTTTGTATGTGATACAGGTTGATGTTTCAGAACGGACCAAACAAATTTATGATTCACATAAAGATTTGCATCGATCTTCCTAATACTAGTATTTGGGTCTTCAATTTCGTTTAGAATAGCTTCTTCCAACGCAGATGTTCTAACACTCAAAGGTTTTCCAGGGATTTCTGAAATGAGCTTGACTTCGAAAGACCTTGAAAAACATTTCTGAACATTCTTGGATTTGGAATTGGATGATTTGTAAATCTTTCGATGTAAATTCGCCTAGCCTCAGTACCATTTCCATCTGCAAAGCCATAAATGTAAACCATATTGGACATAACTTAATCTTTTTAAAAAATAAGCTTAATTTGACAATACACAATATTAAATAAAATTTATTCCGAATGAAAATTCGTGAACAGCACCCTTCGATTTTTCGTGTTGAATAGAAAAACAGTAATTGGGTTCGTTAGAAGTTCCAAATTTTGGATAATAGATGACTTGATTTTAAATGGAATTCTTTGCTAAAATTGATACAAACAGATGCAAAATTTAATTTGTTTTCTATTTTATTAAGGTCTATTAAGGCCTATTTCTTACAGTTTGCGAGATATTGCACGAATTGCAGATATTTTGGCGAATGGAAAATGGATACCACATCCATTTTCTGTTTCTAATAATATTTTAAATAAACATTTTATCAGTCAACTGTGTTTGTAAATGTTCAAACATAAACATGTTGTAAATTGTACATGTTACTGAATATTTCTGAGCAGCATTGAAATTTTAAATAATACATAGATTACATAGACAGTTTTGTTAATACGTTTTTGTATCGTTGTGAAACCTGAAACCACCCTATTGATTGTTATATTATACAATACACCCGAGAGTCTTAGCGAAATGTTGTTGTACTTGAGTACTACTTGCATTAGACAAATGATGTAATGACCATTGCCTTTCTTGCAAATTACTGTAGGGAGAACCATTGCGAAATCGAGAGGAGGAGAAGAAACAAGATGACGGCGTACATCACCGAGTTGTCAGACATGGTTCCTACATGTAGTGCCCTTGCCAGGAAACCTGACAAACTGACCATTCTCAGAATGGCTGTAGCTCACATGAAACAACTCAGAGGTAAGTGCCATCTTCTAAAAATGCCAAAAATTTCGCGCTTGCAAATGTAGCTTATAGTCGGATTAAATACGCCTTTAAATCGAAATTTTGGCCAACTTTGCTGAATTTTTGATATGAGTTAGTTTAAGGTATATTATAACAATAAGTGAGAGTAATTTTTTGTTCAACCCCCGGCCAAGGGTGAAAAAAGATAAAACAAAAGGGTTTTTCAAGATAACTCAAAAAGGGTAAGGGCTAGAAAAAAAGTTTTACAATTCTACATAAAAATGGCCTCTTGACTTTTTCTTGTACTATTAAAATTAACAGAGTTAGGGAGGCTAGAAGTTAAGGGAAGATTTCAGAAATTTAAAAAAATCGTAAGAGAAAAATGAATGAATTTTGTAAATTTTCTTTCAATCTACTCTAAAAAAAAATGTAACTATTCTTTCCAGTCAAATAGATATAATTTTTAATAAGAAAGTTATAACAATTTCAAATTTTTAATCGTTAATTTTAATGATGTAACAAAACTAAAACAATTTTTTTCTATACTAATCGATTGATTATTTAAAATAATGAAAAGTTGCCTTCGAATTTTTTTTCACCCTTGTTTTTTAGACAGATACAAATATATTTACCTTTTTACCTTTTAAATATTATTTAGCTCCTACGACACTGCCAAGATAAAGATGCTGCTACTTTTTGCTGCTTTTCAGGAAGTCTACCGCTACTTTATAAATACTGGTGAAAAGACTAATGTAGGTAGGTTTTTTACAACAAAATGTATTATACCCCACATCTGAAAAATTTACAAAAAAATTACTACGATTTTTCAGTAAATATACCGCTACTTTACAAATATTGGTGCAAAGATTAATAATGTTGCCAGCTTACACACGGGTCAGATTTGGTCTGTACAATTTCAACTACCTATGATGACAATATGTTGCGGGTTACGGGTTGCCTATATATGTGAGATGACACCTTAGATTAGGGTCACACTAAAGTGTCTATAAGGTATAAGCCTATTGGTAGGTATATAGGAAACATAAGACGGGGCAATCTATATTTTTTTAAATTTGTGTTTGGATCACAATTTGTGGTGGCATCTATGATTTCTGCACAGAAATTTTCGATAATATCGAGAAATAGGGAGCTTTATGCCATTAGAAAGACCGTCAAATGAGCTCTTCAAAAATATATTATAACTACATGATACTTATCGTTTACGGTTTTCAAGATATTACATATTTATTGTTAATAGGTATGAAACATTACTATAGTAAGCCATGAAATGTTCATTTGTTAAAAATCGTATTCCTAATTAAAAATATTTAATTTCATATATTTCATTCAATATTTTACTTATTTGTTGAAAAAAATATATTTTCTTTAAAAATATCTCATGTTTCATGACAATACAGTAATAATAATAATAACTACGTAATATTTTGAAAACCGTAAAAGACAATTGTCATGTATGATATATTTTTGAAAAGCTCATACAGGGTATTCCATTAAAAAAAAAAAGTTAGGCATGCATCTCGGAAACGAGNGATACCTTAAAGCACAAAAAAGTTATGTCGTTTTTAACACATTCAATCTACTGCAGCTAGCGCCCTCTATGAACTTTAACCAAAATGTGAACAGATTTCAATTCCTCTACTCAACAAACTCCAATCCCCAAAATTTTGTGAGGATATTTGCATTTGTTAAGGAATAAATTAAAAAAAAACTGAAATAATATTTTACATTTAACACTCTGTATCTTTTTAACTATCAACTTTTGGACTAAGGTAAGTTCGGCTAAATCGCAATATTTTTACTTGGGGAATCTACCCATGAATTTTGGCCCATTACGTCGCGACCACCCTGTATACTATTCGATTGATTATTTAAAATAGTGAAAAGTTGCCTTCGAATTTTTTTTTACGTTGGTTTCTTAGACAGCTACAAATTTATTTACCTTTTTATCTTCTGAATTTTATTTAGCTCCTACGACAAAAAAATCACGTTCGCTTTGTCGCACCATGGTACCGAAGTCGTGGACATCGCTATTGTCAATGCGCGTGCGTTAGTAAACGTGTGTTTCTTTGAATTATTCTAAGCTCAATATCCAATATCCATTGTTAATTTCAAAAAGGTAAATTTTAATGAGGACTAATATTTTTGTTGATTAAATTTTGTAGAGTTCGATATTTTTACGCATTATTGTCTATGTAAAACGTGGAAATTTATTTATTAATACTTGTAGACTTGTAGTTTGAATTATATTAATAATAACATAGTGATAACAATAACATAAATATATATCATATAATTTTTTGTCCAAAATGTCGTGGAATATGATCGTTTGTGCCTAATATTTGAGAATTACTGAGAGAATTGGCAACGTGGGCTCCCCGCGAAGACGTCGAAACAGGACTTCGGGCCCCACGTCGAGCGCAACGTCGCCGAATATGACCTAAATTATTGGTAAGATCGACATGGGCCCTCGCCTCGATGGAGACATCGGAAGTTCTATTTGAGCTCGCGTTAGTAAACCTGCGTTTCTTTGAATTATTCTAAGTTTTTTTTTTAATCGCGAAAAACTAGCCCAAAAACACGGAAAATCTTCAAATTTCGCGATTTAAAAAAAACTGAAGGGTGATGGAGCAATTTTGACTCCGGATTCGGTTTCAGCGCGTCAAAATATATAAGGATAGGTGGGTATAGTCTCTGGTATTTTCAACTTTTTTTTTTGTGGGTCTGTGTTATTTATGTAAAGTAAATATTATTGTTGGTATTGTTACCTTTTATACATGGGTCATCACAAAGCAGTTTATCTCGACAACAACCGGGTCATTAGTCAGAAATTAAGAGGGTATATGAAACAAATATCAAAGTTACTGCTCTGTCAATAAAAAAACAAATAAATAGGTAACTCACCGGGGAGTTACACTCCCCCTAACTTTAGAATTCAAGGTATATCCTTTCATAAGTTTCCATTATATTAATTAGCAAATATGTATAATTCTTTCTTCAACAACTAGCTATTACCTGAAATGAGTCGAGGCTCCCCCGGACGCCAACTAGTTACCCTCTCAACTACCAGGTGTGTGAGTTATATTATTATGCCACCTACCTCAACACCACCCAGTATGTGTCAATCGAAGCGCAGGTAAGACCCCGTAGAACATGCAAGGCACACTTCGAATGAACCACAGCCATTAAGACCGAGAACACGTGGCGCGCCCTGGGGTTTTCATAAACATAAACGAGTATGGCATATTACTCACAAATTCACAATTCATCAAACAAAATGTATTCAAGCTAGCACACAACCAACCAACAATCAACCTTATTTGGGCGCTGGCCAGGCACCACTGTCACAAGGAAGACCCCCTCTCTTAGTTTCGGCATCCCAGGTTACATTTTGGTACTCATAAATTACATTATCTCAAGAGTAAATAAACACTTGGCTGGCGCATTCTGTGTGAACAGCTGAGGTTTGATTCAAAGCAACCACGAGTTTTCATTAAATAAAAAATATATTGATTACTGTTATTACAATACTTTAAAAATAAACAAGTGTTACATTAGTAGACATTTTATTGCACTTTATAACTGGGATGGGTAACAAAAAAGTAACTCGAAAGAAGTAACGCTAAGTTGGCAAATTGCAAAACGTGTTTTTTTTTTCACTTTTTTACTACCCACGAAAATTTAGATGACCTATTGGAATATTAGTTATTTGATGTTGTAGGAAATTAAATTACTATAATTTAAGGATCTAAAGTCATAGTACACCAATTTGTTATCTGTAAAATAAATGTTAAACCTGAAAAAATCAGTTTCCGAAAATTGCACATGATTACTGCAAAAAGCAATTGATGTTGATGAAATTTATGGAAAATATGGTCAATTCAAAGATTAACATGTGTGCAAAAGGCCCATTAGATTGACTTTGAAATTGCTTCTCCAGCTATAAGTCCCTTCGAAGTAGGGTTTCTGGTCGAGACTTCTCGAAGCGAGAATTCCCGGGAAATCTGGCCTTACTCGAGACGAGAAAAAAGTGTCGAGAAATCGAGAAATCGAGAAATTTAAGAATCACGCGTGTCTTAAGTTCTTGACTGGAGTTCGTTTCACTCATGCGTTCAATTCGTTTCTCGACAAATAACTGAGCGGTTAAAGTGGTTTCTCTACCAGCTCATGATTTATTTATTTTAAGTTTTTAAGGCTTTAGTTTACTTTGATGTTTTTTTTTTTTAATGTACAGGGTGATTCACTATATTTTGACCCCCCTTTAACTTTTTTGTTTTAAGAGTTATAAAAAAATGTGAAATACAAAAGTTGCACGATTTTTTATGAAGTTTTCGAAAATGATAGTAGAAAAACAAATGAAGTTCAAACAAAATGGCCGCGGATGTTAACTTTGTTAATTTAAATGGAACACCCTGTATATTTTTACATATTTGGATAGAACGTTCCTTGTCGAGCATAGTCATATAGGGTTTGTTGGGTCCATCTCTAATAATAGGCGAGATAATATTAAAAAACGAAATGATGTTTTTTTATTAAGAAAATAAGACATCTTGTAATTGTTAGACCTCTTTCAGGCATTTCTGCCTTTTTTCCAATTACGTAAGGATTTAGATTTAGTTGTAATATATTTTGACATATCGGACATTGATATAGTCCAAAATGCGTATAGGTATTTTAAGTAAATCTCACTAATTAGACCGTGTGAGGCCAATTACTCATGGACAATCTTATATATGGTAGGTCGTGACAGTGACAGGTAGTAATGTCATGATAACATTGTTATTGTTTGACAGTTTGTATTAGTATTTAATTAAAATGGGTTACACAGAAGTAGAAAATTGAAATATTATTAGGAATTAAAATAAACTATGGAGAATATCTTAACTACTCTATCTTAATTCCTATAATATTTAAATTTTCTACTTCTGTGTAACCCATTTTAAATAAATAATAATACAAACTGTCAAACAATAACAATGTTGTCATAATATTACCTG